ACATCATCAACAATGACCACATAGCATGGTCAAATAGTCAACAGACTACGCCATATCAACAACGACGGCCCACAAATCAAGCGGTCAACGATTAAAGATACGTGCTATTTACCACGTTATCACTTTACTTCGAACAGAAGAGCGAAGACTTAAAGACGTGAGTTGGGAGCAGGACTCAGGATTACCTGGGATTCGAGAGGTACTTGGTTTGGTGGTTGAAGTCCAAGGTTCGTCGAGTTGACCCTCGACCTGACTTGCAGAGAGAGAAATACCATTTTGACTTCCGAAATTATCAACCCCATTTTAATATAGCTTTATAATTATTTGAGATATTTCTCTCTTTTAATTATTATATTAATTAATTCATGTGTGATGTCATCTAATGACATCATCCAACCTCTCCGCTAACCTATATAAGGAAGTGTTCCAAGGCCAAAAGCGGTAGAGCAAACAAGGGAGAAAAACACCTCCTAGACATTGAGAGCTCTAAGCCTCTCTCTCATTGGTTGTCTTCACAACCCTTAAACATTTACCAAGGGAGTCAATGGTATTTATTACACTGCCATCCTCTTTCTCTCCCTCTTTCAAGTTTGCTTGGGCTTCCACCTCTCTCAGTCCACCTCAGATTCTATTATATTGTCTGGACCACTCAGATTTGTGTATGATATCACCATTTATATGTATTTTATTGTGTTACGAAAACGAAGACCCACAAAGTGCTATACAAAGTATAATTTAGGGGTGTTTTTCGCATTTCATCCAATAAATTATTATTTTATACTTATACATATATATACAAGATGAGAATCAATTTTAAATTAATTCAGTTATGATTTATGATGTCCACCAGAATTTGCGGCAACTAATTCATCATTAAATAGATAAAGAACCCATATCTGTCGGTCCCCAAACTACTGAATGAATTGATTAAAATTCTTCGAACAGAATACAAACGTTGTCATTGTCTTTAATTTTCTGTAAGAAGACTATGGCATATCATGATGCCATTCCTAAATTGACATTGACTCTGTTGGCTGTGGGACCAATTACAACTGGAATTATGGTAACACGTCGTCTTGTAGTCATGAAAAATTTATATGTCCATTTCTTAGCAAAAAGCATGTACACTACGAGGGTGCAAATTGATTTGACTTGCTTATAATTGAATCTGTTTTAATGAATGATAATATGATCAATAACATCATGCTTTAAAGTTGGTGGATCATATAGAATTGGCAGGTTTGTTGGGTCATTAATGTATAAATATCTATTGTACAATAAAATTTAAATTTTTGCTACTGAAAAAAAATAATAATAATAATATAATAAAATAAAATTTAAATTCACAAATGAATATGTTTAGAAAAAGCCAAGCCCAGCCAAGCCAAGCTTGATTCTCCATCTTGGTCATAAAAAGAAATGGAAATATTCAAACTTTTTGAAATGAAGCATAAATTAGACATCTCATTGATCACTTGCGTGGTAGATTGTAATTGATCAAAATTAGGGGTGACAATTAGACGAGTTTTAAACAAATCATAGTTTTTTGTCCTTCAAAATATTTTTGTGTTAAAACAACAAGAGCTTGTAAGTGGAAATTTGGTTCTACAAATTAAGGAACATATACTAACAATTTAAATTTAAATCTTTTTAAACATGTGTCGAGATTGTTAGCGCCATTATATATAAAAATATTAGCGCCATTATATATATAAACACATGTTTTAATACCGTCCGAGAGGGAAAAGAAAATAATGATCTTCAACACTTCTTTATTGCAGTTGAAAAACTCTCTATTTTAAGATAGATGAAGATAAGTTCTAGATTTTTGGCAAAATAAAAAGGGGCTTTCTGTTTTTGGATGAGTGATTTAATTAAGCGGGTCTTGGGTGTATTTTAAGATGAGTATAGATTTGGACGGGTTGACAGATTTGAGTAATTTTTGTCACTCCCTATAAAATTATGTACTCTGGAATTATATAATATTTTCACGCAATATATGACTGCATGAATAGAATTCCTTTATTATTATTTTTTAAATACCAACTAATAGAATTCCTTTTCGTGAATGTGTATTGTTTATTGTATCAGCAGTCAGCACATGGCGTTCTGATTAATTTTGGATAAGAAATTTTTTTACTAGAAATATTGATTCGTTTCATGCTGAGCAATGCATTGCTGTCCTGCAATTGGAGCAGATAAAATTCTGATAACTTTGTATAAAGATTAATTACTCCTTAAAAAAAATTGTTTATTTATTATTATTATATTTTAATCGTGGCAAAATAGGGGAGGGGGACTCAAACACAACTTAAGAACTCTACCGATTAGGCCATTACGTAATACCCATTTGAGCAATTACAAGCATTGCAAATAACTTGTAATATGGATGGACCAATCTCAACATAACCGATACTCCTAATATTTTTTTAAAGGGTTAAAATCACAAAACTCTCTTCTACTTTCAAAATCGTGTATAAAACCCCCAATTATGAGACCCTGTTTCCTGATCACTTTTCCCTATGTTGTGTCTTTAGAATTAAATAAACCCCTAAACTAATATGACTTATCAAATTACCCATAAACCTGTGACCGACCCCTTAAATGGGTTGTGAAATGTCAAATTTGATCTTACTATTTAATACTAAATTAAAACCTACGATTATTATTTTAAAATTACAAAAATAATATTGGAGGTGTGAAATGGGTCATCGATTGCTAGTAAGATAACAACCCATCTAATATTACAAATATTATTGTAAAGGGGTATTTTTGTAATTTTAAAATAATAATTTTAAGCTTTAATATTAAATAGTTAGCTCAATTTTGATATTTTACAACCCATTTAACGGGTCGATCACGGGTTTAGGAGTAATTTGATAAGTTTTGTTATTTCAGGGAGTTTTTTTATTTATTTTTTTATTTTTTTATTTTTTTTTATGTACGATTTTGAAACTAGTAGGGAGGTTTTATGATTTTAACCCTTTTTAAAATTTGATTCAAGCTTAATTGAAAATATCAATCCAAATATTATTTATTTATACTTCTTTTCTATTTACCGGTCTCAAAACTTTGACTTAGGACAAGGCAAGCTATTAGGACAAATATGTATTAATAATCTCAACTCAAATTTAATTCATTTAATGATTCGTCTGTGGTATCAGGTAACTTAAGTTGAATCAAACCTTTGTAAAAAATTAAGAAGGAAAAAAGAAAAAAGAAAACCTTGTTGATAACTTGAGTTGTAACCATATTATTGTACGTGTGATATAATATTGTATATTAGCTAATTTTGGTGTCAAAACAAGTTCGATTGAGTTATAATTTTTGATTTGATTTTCAAGACCCAAGATTTGATATGGAATTGAAGATGGGCCATGTCTACACTTTGGCACACTCCGTGATGATGAGAAAAGTACATCAGAGAGGTAAGTGTGTGTGCGTGTGAGAGGACACTCATGAGTTTTACGGTTTAGGCACTTAAGAAAAAATTTCAAAAGATTTCTTTAAGTTTTATAATTGTTCAAACGGGACGAGCCAATTGCGTACCTTGCAATTGGTCGTGTTGTCAAAGTTTTCTAATTTGTTTCTCATGAAAACTCACTATCCAAGTCAGACTGGTTGCGTCTGACGCAACTGGTCGTGCTCTTGTAAACCAAACAGGAAATTTGAAACCTTGTTCAGTTTGGTTTCTCTTTTTGACTACATACTTACACGACAATACATGCACGAAAATTACTTGTTTTCCAAGTGTTTTTAGGTCTTTTTGAAATCTATATAAGCACTTTTATTATCTAGGTTTTGTGTAGCTTTTTGGAACTAAAATTTCAAATATTTTGTGAAAGTTTTTGAGAGATATTTTTAACTAAGAAAATCAACTCTAATTTATTTTTGAAAACACACACATAAACACAAGAGTGGTTTAAGGTGTTATTCTCTATCTGATCAAAGTTCAAATCATTGAAGATCTATTGATACTGTTCAAAAAAAAAAAACAAAGCTTCTATTATTCTTCATCAAGACCATATTTGAAGAAAATGAGGGAGCGTTCACACTTTGAAGGGATTAAGACATTCGTGGTGTGTTGGTTTATCTACCAATAATTTTTCTACATAGTTCAAGAGTAAGTCTGATGAGGTCAAGAGTTATTAGACAGAAAAGTTGTACGAAAGCTTTTTTAAAAATAGGTACAAGAAATATTATAATATACTCTGTACATCCACTATTGTTCATCCTTGGTAATTTTTTTGGAATGATTGCATAATTAATTCGTCGTTTAAAATGACAAATTATAGTAAGAGTTTGGCAAAGAAAATTATGAAAAAGCTGAGCCATTATCAATGTTCAATGATTATTTCATAGTTTTAAGCCTCTTTTGTTGGGCCTTAAAATTTGGGCTTATTTTTGTTGGGCCATGATTTTATTACTTGTTTGGGCTGATTTTTTGGGCCGTTTGTGAAGCCTAGCTTGCTGGGCTTCCTTTTGCCCATTATGAGGCACACTGTACCTTACTAGTAGTGTGCCTGGTAAATTAATGTAAGTTACTGTATGTTATGTATAAATTGCTTTACTGTTCGAAGTTAAAAAAAAAAAAAAAAAAAAACAAACAAACAAACAGTGTTCTATTTGGAATCTTAATATTTCCAGGTCTCAAAATCTTGGTTTTCTTCAGGCAATTCACAAGTTTAACAGCAATAGAGATGATTTTTTAAATAAAAAAAAAAAAAAAAAAAGAATGCTCATTTGGTTCATTTGGAAGTAATGCTATGTTCGATAAGAAACAAAAAAATTTAATGGAAGGGAAGGAAGAAGGGATGGACAAGAAATCTCTAGGAAAGAGATTTTGTATTTCCTTCTTTTTATTCGGTTTAATAGAAGAGAAGATAAGATAAAGCAATAAACTAATAATTTACTATGTTCATTAAAAGAGAAGGAAGTATAAAGTTTTAATTGTTTTTACCATTATATCCAATAATATTTATAATGTTGTAACATGTCGATAATAGAATTGTAATGTAAAATTTCTATAATTTAGGATAATATTCAATTTAAAACTTCTATAATACTCCACTTGTCTTCCATCCTTTCTTCCTCTTTTAATTTTTTTCTAATATCAACTCTACCAAACAAAGGAAGTTCGTTCATTTCTTTCTATTTTCTCTCCACACCCTTTAATTCCTTCCCTCCTACCGCACATAACATAAAGCAATGTTTTTGCCTTGAACCACAAATACAACAATATTTGATTTTACTAGAGTAATTAATTTGTTGGTGAAGCACATCAAACTGCGGCTTTGAACATCATCTCAAAGGCGTTCTCGATGCACGACTTGAACTTATGTGGATCCATGAAGCCTTTCTCCATCCCCACAGAAACTCTCAATGTTCCCGCATAACTCACCATTGTTACCGAAAGACTCTGCAAATTCACACACACTTTGTTACAGTTACTACATACATTTGATCAATTAGTCAAGTTCTTTAGTAAAGATTGTCAAACAAACTTTACTCTTAATGTAACTCGTCACATTTAAATGTTAACCGTGATAGTCGTAGTTGTGAGAATAACGCGACTGTTACTAGCATTCTTCGTGTTAATTAATATATCATGATAAAAATACATGTGCATGCACAATATACCTGTGGAGCACCAGCCACATTGAAGTAAAAGCCTTTAATGGGATGATTACCCAAAGCCATCCGTTCCACAGGGCCAATCAAATTTGAGATTGCCATGCTGGAGTTCCTTAGCGTGCTATGAATATATCCGGCCGTTGCCTGTAACACCAAATTCGTCATAGGTATTTCCAACTCCGAAACAGGCACACTCATTAATTTGTTAAATTGAAAAAATATTTAAAATCAATACTATAAGCAATGCTACAATTATCGTTTGGTGTCTCACAAAGTCATAAACTCATGCTGTGTGAGACACCCGATAGTCAAGTTTCTTCAATTGTGGAATTTTCGATACTACACATTTTTACCTCAGGGCCTTTAAATTTTTGGAGTGTCTCTAGGAGTCTACCGATGAGATGAACAACTGCAGAGTTTCTTTTCCTCTTGATTAATTGATGTGTAGCCAAGACAAAATTGAGAGGGTCTGGTTGCTCAGAATTGGATAGGGTGGGAATGGGCACATGCAAGAATGCGAATTGGTTACCCCATGTCTTATCAGTATTATTTCTGACCATCTCGTCAACGGACTTGTATCCACCAATTGCTCTAGTGTTGAGCAACACTAGTGCTGTTGAATGTGAATTGCTTACCTCGTCTTGGCTTGTTGCTTGCATGTATAACCGAGTTCCATAAAATATTATCCCCACAAGCACATCATTTATCGTCTGTTCAAAAATAAAAAATAAAATAACAATAACAATAACAATAACGTAATTCTAATATTTTTAAGAACAAGTCTCTCACAAAGAAATTTTCACCATGAGTTTGTACCTTCATTCATTGAATTGATTAGATGATGTCAGACAACTAATCCAGTAGGAATGGGTGTCAGTTCACAGTGAAAGCAACTTCATTATAATTTTTAATTTTTTTAACAGATATATTTAACATATGAAATTTCAAAAAGGAAACAAAAAAGAAAGCAAGCATGCCAAAGTTTTAAGTAATTTGTAACTAAAAAGGTTAAAAAATTTATAGTTTACCACTTCAAGATTGGCCTTAATTTGTTTGATGCGATCAAGAGAAAATGTCATCGTTGTTATAGCAATTGGCTTGAACTCCATTCCATCACCACCAGACCGGATCGGTGTCCGATCATCTTCCACCAAACTACTCTTCAGAATGCTCCATCCAAAATCAAAGACCGTGTTGATGAGTCCGGAGAATATCCGAGGCAGTTGCCAGAAAATGTTGTCGCAGTCACCCTCTAATTTTGTGTTCGATTGGCGGGAGGGGAATGTTAAAGGAAGAGTAGGATCATCAGCTCTTTGTAGACAAGAAAGGAGAGCACCCATCAGAGAAAAGCCATCTCCAAGTGCATGGTGAAGCTTGAAAATAATATTTCCAGCTGCATTGCTTGTGGGGTACTTAATTATATGAATTTCCCACAATGGTCTGCTCTGTGGAAGTTGATCCATGACTATCTCTGACAGATAGTCATCAAGGTACTCATCATAAGATTCAGGTGACGTTGCAGGTGGGAAAATGGGGACATTAACATGGTCTTCTAAATTCACTTCCACTCTTCTCCATTTCTTTCCTCCATTTTTCTCTCCAACCTGTCCAAACATCATGATAAAATTGTTACATTGTTAGTCACCCTTCTAAACGTGAAAAGGCTAAAATTAGAATTAGTGAAATTGAAGAAAATAAAAAAAATTAAGTTAAATGTTTGAAGTTACTTTTTTCCAATTTTATCAATTTCAATTCCAAGTTTGAATTCTATATAACTGAACATAAACTAAATACAATTGAGAGGACACCACAAAGTTAATTAGAAAGTTAACGAAACCAAAGTTCATCTTAAACTAATAACATGACTTCTTTGTTTTTTTTAGTACCAACACATATTTCACAAATTGTTCCTCCAACTCTTCCTCCCAATAGGTTAGTGTTTTGGTAGATCTTGGAATTTCAGACTTCGAACCTCTACACCTTTACATCTACTAATCTAACTTCTACGTATATATGTATTAAGAGTGTGTGTGTGAACAAACTTTTATATATATATATATAACTTCTACAAAATGACTCACGATTTCCAAAATTATTAGTACGACCCCACTTTTTACTTTGTCTCAAATAAAAAAATATCAATCAATCTCTCTCTCTCTCTCTCTCTCTCTCTCTCTCTATATATATATATATATATATATATATATATATATATATACTCATTTTAAAAATACAATAACTCATTTTAAAAATACAATAACTAGAAAAATTTAGCTAAATCCGAGTTTGATTCATCCATTAACAAAAATTTTGTAAAATTTGGTTGTCTTTCCTATAATACTTAAAAACATGAAAAATAAGGCCTAGACAATAAAATTTGGCTGGAAAATAATGTATGTCGCGAGCAAAGCTGGTGAGTGTTGATAGTTGGCCTGATTATGATAAAGATGGGTCTTCATGGGTCAATTCTTTGCATTGTAATTAAGTTTCTATATATTTGTCATATGAAGTGGAATAAAAGATTATATTAATATGTTTAATTTGCATTTTCTGAAACAAATTCCCAACTCCATCCCAATTGAATTGGTGAGAAAAAATTAAAGATTGTGTGTACTTTAATGGTACCTCCACGCCTTCCAAAATAAAAGGAGGGATAAAAATCGATTAAATATATCAATTATTTTTTAAAAAAACATCATTTACTAGAGAAACACCTTCAATCCCTTTTCGTAAAATGAATTAATAAGGCTTTATTATTTTGCACTCTCTTAATTTTTTGAGACTCGCCAAAGGTGAAACATGGACTTAAATAGTGTACATGATTTGGAATAATTGTGTGCATTCAAAGTTTTAAAATCATTCGAGAATCCAAAGTAGTTAGTGAATGGTTTGATTTTTACTTTAGAACACATATATGTTATAAAAATAAAAACAAAAATAAAATCCTAAGCATATTTTCCCCATAATAACATGTAAAAGAAACACACAAGATTAAATAGGACAAGCAGTACTCATGACTCATCCGTTTCATGTTATATTACTAATCTTTTCGGTTTTTCTTTTTTTTTTTTTTTTTTTTTTTTTTTTTTTTTTTTTTGAGAGGTATAATCTTTTCGTATTTGTAGCAAAGAAACGCTCATAGTCGTGTGATTATGGAATGGGGTCTTGAATGGAGGCAACATATATGCATGCTAAGAAGTAAAATCCCATTGATGAGTGAGAAGAGGTAAGCTAGTCTGAAAAATGGAAAGCAAATATGAAAAGTATACCAAAAAAGAAAGCACACACACATGCACGAGAGAGAGTGAGAGAGAGAGAGAGAGTACCATGATGGAGGAAAAGCGCGGGTTAATTGGTAAGAAGACATCCTTGAGCAGTGACATAGTTAGCGAGTCGTCAAAAATGGGGATTTCGACTTCCAAAACGGCAATGATATAGAGCGATAACACCGAGCTGTTGAGGTACTGTGAGCTAGGACTCGCTGGCTCTGATACTACTTCTTCCTCAAACACCATTGCAAATTTTTGATTCACAAGTATGGTTCATACTAGCTACTACTAGTGGTGGTTGCCATTTATATAGGGGAATTAAATGTTAATAAAAAAAGCCCTAAGAAAATTCCAAATAAGTTGATTTACCCCAAAGTTTGTATTTGTAACACGTAATATATACATTATACATATTAATTTTGATTGTTATATAGTGTAGACAATTAATTTCAGAAGATATGTTGCAAAATTGGTACTCTTTGAAGGAAGAGGATCCCCGGTCCCTTTTTGAATGGTTACCCAAGAGACACGTGACTGTTCTAATTAGAGAAGGTGACTATCGGTCCAAACTCCAAACACATGGAACCAAAAGGCCAGTTGAAGAAATCCTCCACTACACCCAACTTTACTTAACTATTAATATTTGCATATTATTCTCATCTACTAATTTTTTTTTAGAATATCACCCCCTTGTACCATCCACAGTTTTGCACTAGAAACCCTTTTGTAAGTAATTAAGTCGTTTGGATATTAGGGGTACAATTTGTGTTCGTGGGTCCTATTCGTACCTTGTCATAACATAAGTATGCTATTATATAGGTCAATATGAACACGTCATGATTATAAATTTGGTTAAAAAAACATTGACACAAACAATACATGATTATTACAAAGGTAACAAAACATGACATGCGTAGCCTATTTAATAAATGTGTAATAAATGTTTCTAATTATTTACCAAATTATTGCCCATAAAATGCAATAATAAATAAATTCTTTTTTATTTATACCCTCAATATATATTTATTTATTTATTTTGGCACGATTTTTGTATTTAAGATAGGATTCTTTATGTTGAACTAAATAAGAATTTCAAATGAGATTGAATTTAAAAATATATATCATAGAAAATTTTCGAAAATTTCATGCCTGAAATAAATAAATAAATAATTATTGCATTTCATGTGCAATAATTTGGTAAAGAATCATAATTCAATAATTCAAAAAGTAACAATTATAAAGAATTCAATAATTCAAAAAATATATATATTGCATTTTATATACACATAACAACACTTTACTATGAAATTAATAGCATATATACCCCAATGGGTATTTTTGGAATAGTAAAAGGTCAACACAGGTATTACAATACTAATTTATCTCAGATTTTGTATTGAGGGTTGTTTCTGCACAATGTGAAAAGAATATAGATGTTTTTTCACGTACACTTTTATAAATACGAGGTAAAAGTGCTATGCGGAGTATACATTGGGAATTTTTTCTGCACTCGCCCTAATGTTTTATTTGTGCAAAAGGTTAAGAGAGAAACTGGTTTCCATTCTTTTGCTATTGTTCGGAGTTGCAGTTTTTGTAATACACTTAATTTTCAAAGGATTTATTTATTTATTTTATTTGTATTTTATTTGATTATGTGGCTATGTGTTTATGTACTTAATTAATTTAAATTTTTTAATGTGAATTATGTGATTTAACTGTGTGTGTACTTACTTGTTTCATTGTGTGTAATAATTTAGATTTAAATGTTTTATTTATTTTATTTAAAATGATGAATTTGGATAGTAGTAATGGACCAACCAAATGGGTCTCATGGATTACTTAGATAGAAAGCTTAGATGGGTAAGGATTATGACCCATTAGTGCATATATATATATATATATATATATATATATATATATATATATATTATGATGTGTGTATATATATAGATATTGTTTGTATTTTATTATCATTATTATTGTTATTATTATTTTTTATTTCTAGTTAGTCTTAGATTAGGATTTGGGTGTTAAAATATATAGAAGTAATAGTCAGAAGAAGATGGTTTTTATATATACGTGAGTTGCAAAAGAGACATAGATCTAGAGAGAGAGAGAGTTAAGAGGAATAAAAAGGTGACCGGAATAGCTTGGAAGTTGCCGAATTTAGAGAAGAAGATCGAAAAATTCATATAGTTGAGTTTCAATCCAAAAATCATAAGGCAAGTTCTTAATATATCTCTTCCCTTTTGAATCTATGATCTTTCCATCACATGCTAGGCTTTAGGAATTAAATCAAAGAATTAAACGGATCAATAAATTGTTTTGCATGAGTTGCTAGAGAGACATAGATCTTGAGAGAGAAAGAAAGAGAGAGAGAGAGAGAGAGAGAGAGAGAGAAGAGGAAGAAGAAGGTGACCGGAATAGCTTGGAGGTTGCCGGATTTAGAGAAGAAGACCGGAGAATTCATATAGTTGAGTTTCAATCCAAAAATCATAAGGCAAGTTCTTAATGTATCTCTTCCCCTTTGAATCTATGATCTCTTCATCACATGCTAGGCTTTAGGAACTAAATCAAAGAATTAAATGGATCAATAAATTGCTATACATAAATTGTAATCGAAGGATTTTGTGCTTATATGTATTTATTCTTTAATTTGATTGATTCTTTGATTTGATGCATAAAACTTGTTTTAAATTGTTGGATCTAATGTACATTCGTTGTATAAATCAATGATGATCATATGTGACTTAGAAAACAAGTTTTAGGATCCAAATCGTGGAGTTATAGTTCAAAAACCGGATCTGCGAATTCTGCCCAATAACTTGGTGCTTGAGCACTGGGGTTTGTGCTAGAGTACAAAGCTGTCCGATGTGCAGTGCTCGAGCACAGATGGGTTGTCCTCGAGCTCTGGGGACTTTTTATTAAAATTGTTTAAAATTACCCCATTTTAAGTGTAATTAATCACGAACATGTTTATGAGTATTGGGAATAGTAATATAGGTCTAAAATAAATAAATATATATATATATATATATATATATATATATATATATATATATATATATTGGCGATAAATCTTCATGTTTTGATGTTAGATGAGAAAGATTAAATTAATTAAATAAAATTGATTTACGTACCTTTTCGTAATATTTAATTTGTGTAATTAAACTTGATTATTGAATAAACTATTATATCAATTAATCTTTCGTATATTTAATTTTTATAATGGTTGTGGATTACATTATTATAATCATTGTTATAGAGATACTTATAATCTACGAGCATGATAAATGGATATAATTAATTATTTATCCTTGTTAAATATGAGTTGTTGATATATGATTTTTAAATCATGTTTCTATCATAACTGTTGCTCTAGACTTAAACTGTTATGGATTATAATTTCTATGCTATTGATATATGGCTATGATGAGATTTATTTCTATATATGAGGTTGATCATTGAGATAGTTATTAAGTTAGGCTCTTTGATATTTTATACCATTGTTAGATATGGTATTGATTGATGTGTAGGTGGGCTGGCTATTAAGTCATGACACTGTACTTGTGCCGTTAGATATACTAGTTATTTATTGATGTTGTATATATATCTATGTGTGCCATGATACGATCTTGAGGTCTCAGGATCTATGGTTAAGACTAAGGCGTATATTGTCGGATTAGATGGGTAGCTGGAATAGGAGATGTGTGTACCCTGGTAGAAGGTGGGACTCTGGACCACCTCATGTGCGATTTTTTCAAAAGATATCCACTACACGGTTGAGACTGCTCTATTACCAGTGCGAGTCTTAGTGTGTATATGTATGTATTGACTATGTAGATATAACATGAGTTTGGCTAAGGATATATTGATTATCGGTTCTCTGATCAGGTCATAGTAGAGGGATCTTTTTTATGGGTCTGACCCACTATTTATTTTTCAAGTCCTCGGCAATACCAGTCTTAGAGTTGTTCGTGCAGATTAGAAATCGTTCATCTTCACTCTTCCGTATCATTGATGTAGGACATTACTTCAGAGTACTCATTTATTTATTAGACTTAATAGTTGTTTATTATTTCAGTTGGGATTTTATTAAGGATCCACATAATATAGATTCCCGAGTTATATTTTGGAGGATTATTGGTATCAGAGAAGTTTATTAATTAATTAATTTTATTCATTGAGGATTTAATTATTTAATTAATATTTTAGTTTTCCTTTCAGCTTTAATTTATTCTTTATTTATCTATTTGTATTTCGTATTCATTTGTTACCTTAATTGCTTGATATTCCTCAGTCTCAAGCGCGAACCTGATCAACCCGTGTTCCGAAATCAAGGGGTATCACAGTTTTGCACGTTGTTCGTTTTACAGAATGGATCTCAATGTTTGACTGATTTCTATGATGTTTGCTATCATGAATCGAGGTATTTACATTTAACTATTCATTTATACATTATGGATATATGAAAAAAATTGAAATTCTAAGATTTTGGGATTCATATTTTATTTGTGATTAATATTTTGCATGTATAATTATAGTTTACATGTGGTATCAGAGCTTATGTTTTAGGAACTCATTATTTTCTGTTAAATGTTGCATAAATAATATTTAATATATGATGTTGATTGCATGATTGATTTTCTGAAAAATACAATCAGAAAAGAAAAATCTTTCCAAAATAGTTTTTCATATTTGTATCGACTTGCAACTCAGTTTTGACCTGTTTGGAGTGTGATTCAAGAAATTAGTATTAGACACAAATATTATGGGCTTTAAGTCTTTGTTTTGGAGCCGCTGAGTTTTTGCAATTCTGAGTTTCGAGTCAAAGGTTGTGTCTAAAATACTGAAACTGGTGTTTGCTTGATTGACTTTGTCCAACATATGATTTTACAAGAATATTCTAAATAAATTATTAATTGCATGAAGTATGTGTATTTCTTTATTTTTCTAATTTTCTAGAATAATATATCAGTTTAGAAAACTTGCATATGCAAATAAATTAGGGTTATGTGCAAAAAACATCCCTATAGTATGTTTACAGTGCATATTGCACCCCTCACGTGCAAAAAAACTCCCCTAAACCATACATCTGTACAAATAGATCCTACTTACACATTTATGATAAATTTGGACTAAAATGCCCTTAGCAACATATTTTATATAAAAAATAAAATAAAATTTTGTGAAATGGCTAAAAAGGGTTTAGCCCTTCTTCTTCTTCTTCAAATTCGTTTGGCCTTCTTCTTCTTGGTCTTGGTGGCTACTGCCGTAGAAAGGGAAGGGAAGACTGGAGCTTCTGGTGAGCTTTAGTTCCAGGAGCTTCAATACTTCTCACCAAAGAGTTTCAGAACAGTGATCAACCATGCTTGAAAGATGACATCGACGAAGAAGCTGCAAAGTTCAATTGTTCCGCTGACAGCTCAGAGTGAAGAGTCCCAGTCGTTGCTACTGTCGTAGTAATCAAAAATTGTTAGTGAAACCACCGAGAAAAGGTTCCTAGCATGATTGGTTAGAGATACAGAGAATCATTGCTACGGAATTGTGAATAGTGCTTGTAACAGTCGACTTCCCCACTAATTTGTGCTGATCGGTTTCGTCTGTGTGTAGAGGCTTTTCCATTGGTTTGTGTTGGCTAAAAACCTCTATTATTTTTCTTTGCTGTTCTACAACAACCATTGGCCACTTCACCGGTGCAGGACCTTGTAGTGCTGCCTTGCCCCGTCCTTTCCCAGGTGTCGTTGAAGATCGGCGTGGTTATTGTTGCCGATCACAAGGGTTGTTGTCAGAGAAAGCCTGGAAAGGTTCTAGCCACGCCGTCTGGTCACCTTCGATCCAACTACAGTCGCTATCACAGAAGTTCAGTTTGTGAAGAAATGTGGGGGAGACCAACGGGCTAATGGCCTAGCGGTATCAGCTTCTTACCTCCCACAGGAAGGTGAATGGTTCAAGTCTCAGAAAAGACAAGTGGAAGATAAAAAAGGACAATTGGTTATATGTCTTCCAAACCAGCTTTAGACTGAACCAATTCAAGGTTTGGTATGGGCATTTTTGGAAGAATAAAGGGGTAAAATGGAAATGATAGTACTAATTTATGTCAGATTTTTTATTGAGGGTTTATTTTCTCACAATGTGAAAAAAAAATAGAGGGGTTTTTTGCACATTTTTCTAAATAAGGGGTTCAAATGTTATACAAAGTATAATTTAGGAGTGTTTTTCGTATTTTGCCTAATAAATTATTATTTTATACTTATACATATATATACAAGATGGGAATCAATTTTAATTAAACTAATTCAATTATGATTTATGATGTCCAACAGAATTGGCGGCAACTAATTCTGAATGAATGGATTAAAATGCTTCCAATATAATACAAACGTTGTCATTGTCTTTTATTTTCTGTTAGAAGACTATGACATATCATGGTGCCATTCATAAACTGGCATTGACTCTGTTGACTGTGGGACCAATTACAATTTTTTTTTTTTTTTGAATGGTAAGTGGGATCAATTACAATTGAATTATGGTAACACGTTGTCTTGCCATCAAGAAAAATTTATATCTCCATTTCTTAGCAAAGAGCATGTGTACACTATGAGGGTGCAAATTGATTTGAGTTGCTTATAATTGAATCTGTTTTAATGAATGATAATATGATCAATAACATCATGCTTTAAAGTTGGTGGATCATATAGAATTGGCAGGTTTGTTGGGTCATTAATGTATAAATATCTCTTGTACAATAAAATTTAAATTTTTGCTTTTGAAAAAAAAAAATAATAATAATAAAATAAAATTTAAATTCATAAATGGATATGTCTAGAAATGGCCAGGCCAAGCCAAGCCAAGCCAAGCTTGATTCTCTACATTGGTCATAAAAAGAAAAGGAAATATTCAAACTGTTTGAAATGAAGCATAAATTAGACATCTCATTGATCACTTGCGTGGTAGATTGTAATTGGTCAAAATTAGGGGTGACAATTAGGTGTGTTTTAAACAAATCATAGTTTTTGTCCTTCAAAATATTTGTGTGTTAAAACAACAAGAGAAATTTGGTCCTACAAATTAAGGAACATATACTAACAAAGTAAATTTAAATCTTTTTAAACATGTGTCGAGATTGTTAGCGCCATTATATATAAAAATATTACCCCATTATATATATATACACACATGTTTTCATACCGTCTGAGAGGGAAAAGAAAATAATGATCTTCAACACTTCTTTATTGCAGTTGAAAAACTCTCTATTTTAAGATAGATGAAGATAAGTTCTAGATTTTTGGTAAAATAAAAAGGGGGTTTCTGTTTTTGGATGAGTGATTTAATTAAGCGGGTCTTGGGTGTATTTTAAGATGAGTATAGATTTGGACGGGTTGACAGATTTGAGTAATTTTTGTCACTCCCTATAAAATTATGTACTCTGGAATCATATAATATTTTCACGCAATATATGACTGCATGAATAGAATTCCTTTATTATTATTTTTATTATTTTTTAAATACCAACTAATAGAATTCCTTTTCGTGAATGTGTATTATTTATTGTATCAGCAGTCAGCACATGGCGTTCTGATTAATATTGGATAAGAAATTTTTTTACTAGAAATATTGATTCGTTTCATGCTGAGCAATGCATTGCTGTCCTGCAATTGGAGCAGATAAAATTCTGATAATTTTGTATAAAGATTAATTACTCCTTAAAAAAAATTGTTTATTTATTATTATTATATTTTAATAGTGGCAAAATAGGGAAGGGGGACTCAAACACGACTTAAGCGTTCTACCAATTAGACCATTAGGTAATACCCATTTGAGTAATTACAAGCTTTGCAAATAACTTGTAATATGGATGGACCAATCTCAACATAACCGATACTCCTAATATTTTTTTAAAGGGTTAAAATCACAAAACTCTCTTCTACTTTTAAAATCGTGCATAAAACCCCCAATTATGAGACCCTGTTTCCTGATCACTTTTCCCTGTGTTGTGTGCTTTAGAATTAAATAAACCCCTGAACTAATATGACTTATCAAATGACCCATAAACCTGTGACCGACCCTTTAAATGGGTTGTGAAATGTCAAATTTGATATTGCTATTTAATACTAAATTAAAACTTATAATTATTATTTTAAAATTACAAAAATAATACTGGAGGTGTGATATGGGTCATCGATTGCTAGTATAACAACCCATTTAACATTACAAATATTATTATAAAGGGGTATTTTTGTAATTTTAAAATAATAAGTATAGGCTTTAATTTAATATTAAATAGTAAGGTCAATTTTTATATTTTACAACCCATTTAACGGGTCGGTCACGAGTTTAGGAGTAATTTGATAAGTTTTGTTATTTTAGGGAGTGTGTTTTTTTTATGCACGATTTTGAAAGTAGTGGGGAGGTTTTATGATTTTAACCCTTTTAAAAATTTGGTTCAAGCTAAATTGAAAATATAAATCCAGATTTGATTTATTTATTTATTTATTTTTACTTCTTTTCTATTTACCGGTCTCAAAACTTTGACTTAGGACTTGGGAAGGCAACACCCTGAGCTATTACGACAAATATGGACTAATAATCTCAACTCAAATTTAATTCATTTAATGATTCGTATGTGGTGTCACATAACTTAAGTTGAATCAAACCTTTGTAAAAAATAAAAAAGGAAAAAAGAAAAAATAAAACCTTGTTGATAACTTGAGTTGTAACCATGTTATTGTACGTGAGATATAATATTGTATGTTAGCTAATTTTGGTGTCAAAACAAGTTCGATTGAGTTATAATTTTCGCTTTGATTTTCAAGACTCAAGATTTGATATGGAATTGAAGATGGGTCATGTCTACACTTTGGCACACTCCGTGATGATGAGAAAAGTACATCAGAGAGGTAAGTGTGTGTGCATGTGAGAGGACACTTGTGAGTTTTACGGTTTAGGCACTTAAGAAAAAATTTCAAAAGATTTCTTTAAATTTTATAATTGTTCAAACGGAACGAGCTAATTGAGTACCTTGCAACTGGTCGCATTGTCAAAGTTTTCTAATTTGTCTCTCATGAAAACTCACTGTCCAAGTGAGACTGGTTGCGTCTCACACAACTGGTCAATTCTGGAAAAAAAATTGAAAAGTTGCCTCTTGTAAACCAAAAAGGAAATTTAAATCCTTGTTCAGTTTGGTTTCTCTTTTTGGCTAGATATTTGCAAGACAATACATGCACGAAAATAACTTGTTTTCCAAGTGTTTTTAGGTCTTTTTGAAATCTATATAAGCACTTTTATTATCTAGGTTTTGTGTAGCTTTTTGGAACTAAAATTTCAGATATTTTGTGAAAGTTTTTGAGAGATATTTTTAACTAAGAAAATCAACTCTAATTTATTTTTGAAAGCACACACATAAACACAAGAGTGGTTTACGGTGTTATTCTCTATCTGATCAGAGTTCAAATCATTGAAGATCTATTGATACTGTTCAAAAAAAAAAACAAAGCTTCTATTATTCTTCATCAAAACCATATTTGAAGAAAATTAGGGAGCGTTCACACTTTGAAGGGATTAAGACATTCGTGGTGTGTTGGTTTATCTACCAACAATCCTTCTACATAGTTCAAGAGTAAGCCTGAGGTCGAGAGCTATTGGACAGGGAAGTTGCAAAGTCAGGGATCGTCAGTAATTTGTTTTTGGTAGAATGATAGGGTGTGAGCCTAGGTTAGAGTTGACAGTACTTTGCTTCAAGCATAGTGGATCGTTTTGCTCAAGACTGCGAAAGTCTCTATAGTTTTCATCCTGTTTGGTTGGATTTCTTCCAACTAGGGTTTCCATACACAAAAATCCGGTGTCATATCTCAAACTTTATTTACTTTTTACTTGCACATTATTATTGCTTTGTGGGTTTGATTTTAGTTTTATTTCAGTAAAATTTAAAATAAGTAAAAGTTGGATAAAGGAGCAAGTTAAACCTATTCACCCATTTAGGTTATTTTTAATACAAACTTCCACATCCATTCGGCATAGCACAACTCACAATTATCAGAGCCTATAATTTACATAAAAAAAATTTGGTAAGAATTTAAACACATAACAAAAATTTTGTTATCTGTTTCCTTTACAGTCATCTAAAATGTTTACTACTAAATTGAGTGCCAAGCTTCACGTCCCGTTTAGTGCTTTTATGAATAAAATGAGTATAAATATCTTCTTCTTCTTCTTTTTCTTTTTGAGAAATAAAATGGATCAAAGAGGGGTCAGGGACCTCAAAGCCCATTCGCATACACCTCGACTTACAAAAACCAAGCCCAAAGGGCATGTAACAAAAATGTACATTGGTGATCATGACCTACTAATTAGGTGTAATGGATGGGCACTTGCCTAATTACCCAAAGCTTAAGTTATTGGGTAGTGCTGCATTCCTACCCATTAATACCCCTTTCACTTTCCATCCAGATCCGATATGGGACAAATACCCCTTGTAATATTCTCCCACACCGGAACTCGCAACACCCTCATTATGGTCGGGCCACCTTGCCTACCTGGGTGGCTCATCCGAAAGCCTTCCGGGCCGGGCGCTTGGCATGGTACCGAATCAAGTACTAGGTCTAACTCTGATACCAACTGTAGGGTGGGCGCTTTTCTAATTACCCCAAAGCTTAAGCTATTGGGTAGTGTTGCATACCCATGCATTTATACCCCTTTCACTTTTTATTCAGATCCGAAGTGGAACAAATACCCCTATCATTAGGCTTATTGGTCAAAGTGATCGAAATAATATATATATATATATATTTTTTTTTTGGTCAGTGAGAGAAAAATATATATATATATGTGTAAATATATATATACACAACCAAAACCATAATGTCATGGTTAGGTGCTTCATGATTCGACTCAAAATTTTAAGCTATAAGGTGGTACTAACACCCCCAATCTTACATGCCCAAGACCTTCCCCATTCGGATCTAATGTGGGTTAAGAATACAAGAATTCATGACATTTTCCCCCACCCAAACCTGCAAACCCGTCCATCCTAACAGCGGGGGACCCGATAACGATCCGAATACTTTCGTGTGGGCGCTTGGCATGATATCGAATCAAATATTAGGATTGCTCTGAAACCATTTGTCACGAGTCAAGTGCTTCGAGATCTAACCCAAAAACTGAAGTTATTCGGTAGTTCCAACACCCAACCTTATATGCCCGAGTCCTTCCTTATCTGAATCTAATTTGGGACAAGAATCAATGACAATAAGCTCA